AATTAACTTTTTTAGTGGAAATTATTATTTCTTAATTGGTTTAGAATAGTGGATTCGATTTTTTCTTTCCCGTTGCGTGTTTTTTTATTTTGATGACAATTTGACGATGATTTGAAATCTTGCGAATTTGTGTGATGTTGGGCCTTATCACAATAGAAAACTTTGTATATTTGTTTTTTTGTGTTCAAATAGGTTTACAAATAAAAATCCGCATTTTGAAAGAAAAAGCGTATCCACTATTCTGAATCAATTAAAAGATAATAATTTCCACTTGAAAAGTTAATTGAATACATTAAAAATATTAAAAATTGTTAAAAAATTATTTGAAAGCCAAAGATGGAAAATCAGATGAAAACTTGGTTAGAAAATTAATAAAGTCAATTTTGCATGGAAGTTGAAAACCGATTACCAGCGGACGAGAAGCGGAGCAGAACATCGAAAAGCCGAGAGGTGAACTCCATTTAAATAGTTTGGTGTAGTGAAAATACGCGTTTTTTCCAACTTAGAGCCTTCGCCATTTTGTGAATTCTGCAGAAGTGCTTAAGTGCCACACAAAGCGTTGTTTGTGTTTAGTTCCTTGATATTTAGTGCTGGTATCAAGAAGATCCGAGAGAAACATGTCTGACATGTGCATTTCTAGTACTGGAAACTCCAAAAGACGGTACCGACAGATATCCATATTTTCACCTTTTCAGGAGTAATGAACGATTATCTACAATAAGATGCATTAATTAGAGAACAATATAAGGACATATGTGAGGGTCGTGAGGCAGGATTCAGTGATTTTAACAAAAGTCGAAAAAACTCAAAGATATAAAGTCTGACATTGCATTAGATAGTGATATGTCAAAACTTCCAGAAAGAGAATCTAACACTCTATTTCATAATAGAATCAGTCAACAATACAATAGATTTTACGTCGCGGAGAGAAAATGGCGAAAACCAATGTCCTTGCAGAAGCGACAATTATTTTCGTCTTGTGCAATGATAAAAATTTTTCAGGGTCTTCCTCCCGAATTAAAACATTTCCCATGAGGCGACAATTGTCTTCGCTCCAATCATAGGGTTAAAGCATACATAGCACTCAGGATTGAATTTTGAAGCCATTCAGCAGATTTTTTGATTTCTATGAAATTACTGCTTCACATGAAATCAGGATTTCACTATAATACGTACCAAGCGGGAGTGCTTCTTCAAATCACCTGTAAACTTTTTTTCTTTCCGAAGTTTCTTTTCCCAGTTTTTGCTGAACTCTTAATGCGAAAAAACCGTTCTGAGCACTAGATAGGCTTAAGCTCAAACTAACTTCTGACCAATTAACCAGACATCATATGCTAGGCTTGCAAACCTTAAGAGACTTGTTTTCTGTTTTCTTAAGACGGAGTTCAATTATCTTCTTGATTTCTTAAAGTCAAATGTTACATGCAATTTTGGTTTTTTGAATTTTTGAATTCGAGGTTGAAAATTGTAATGATACATTTTGTATGACACACATCAACGTTCTCATTAGCTAAAGGTCTAAGCCCGTTAAAGCATAATTTGGTTTAAAATGGTTAAATTGTTGACTAGTAACATCCGGCCTCGCAAATGAACCACGTATGCATTACATTTTTCCACATTTAATATGCAATTATCTTGCGGCCCGTGATAGGGCAATTATATCTAGTGTATAGGGCGAGCCGGTCCGGCCCTTCGGGCCGTACGGCCTGGAGCCTGCGCTCCACCTAGAAGCATCGTCGGTACGGGCCTGGGTGCAAGGTGGACTTTTTTCAATCTATTTTTCTTGAAATTTCCAAATACCGACAATTGTAAAAAAACAACTGTTTTTCTTAGTTTTCGTAAAAAAACTCAATGATTTTAAACTGATTGCAAATTTTAACCGTTCCTAAAGTACCAGATACATGTGCCAGGTGTAATTATTAAATGAACATATGTAGTACAGTACCCAAGGGAAATTCTATTTAAAGTTTGTATAAAAAACGGGTTAATCTTTTCGAATGTGATGAATTTCAGTTGTTACCTTCAGGGTTTTTGGAAATATGACAAAATGATCAATATCCGGATCCACACTATCCCTTCCTTCACCAAGGTCGTGTATGGAAGCATTAAAATCATTCAAATATTCATCCCTCCACAAATTATCTGAAGTTTCTTCCCTTTCCAATTTAATGAAGGAAGTTCCAATACACACCCCAAAAATAACGGGTAAGGTAAGAGGAAATTTGGAAACTTAGGTATTTTTATATTATACACAGGTATATTATGCATCCATATGGGAAATTTTAATTTAAAATACTTTCCCGTTATTTTTCTGCAGTAAAAAACGTGTATCAAAGAACTTCGCACCTGACTAGGTGCAATAAAAATAATACATTTTTGTAATTTTTAAATAGAACAAGGCTTATTTGTGTATAAATCAGAAGTTGTGAATATTTATACCAGTGAAAATACAAAAAGTAATTATAGGTATAAACGGGGATTATGATTTATTGTTAAAAATCCTATCAAGTTATGATTTCATACATATATATTCCAATGCGTTTATTGTATATATTTCTCTCATTAATTTTACAATACGCACACTTAAATTACTTCAATAATAGCAACCTCACCGTCCCTTTAATACAGAGAACTATCATTCTCAAAGGTGTCAACACATCCAAGAAATTACTCCCGAATCTCACTTTCATCGGGGAACATCCACGCACCGTCTTACAAAACAGGTTTTTATGTAATATCCTATCTAGACTACCACATTTGAAATGGTTCAGCATAATTCCCGACTTTTTGTTCACCATACCGCACAAACCACCCACGAACAGGATAAAAAATACACTTTCTACCAAAACACTGAAGAAGAAGACATTTTCCACCGTCTGAAATAATTTTACTGCATTCAACACACAGAAAAAGCTGCAAAAAACGTTGCTTATACCAAAAACTAAGAACATCCCGGGGAGAAACTCTTTTCGAAAGCAAGTATTGATTTGTCCCTCAATAATTTTAAGCTGCATGTATCCCTTAATCTGATATGAGTGTGAATCGCTTAATCCTTCCGTCGGCTCATCTTTTTCTAGCCTGTGTTACAATAAAACCTGGTATTAATATTAATCTCGGTAAAACAATTTTTAGAGATTACAAGTTATGCACTAACCTCATTATATAAATTAGCAGACAAAATACCGATGTCATGAATATATTTGCTGTTATTGTAATGGTCAAATATACGAGTACGCTGCATTGCCAAAATTCTATCAAAAACGCACCAATCTGACCAATAAGATTGATTCCAGTAGAATATTGGTAGTTTCCTCCAAATGCGTTGCCATCTGATTTCAGGTACCAAAATCAAAAAAAAATATTAAATGTACATATTTTAAATTTCTAGGTTTATTTTTAAAATCGGAAAAATTCGCCTAGATTTTTTAACTACCTGGAATAACCGATCCCAAAAAAGGAGGCCTACCCGCCGTCACAACGATAACCAGCACCAAGAAAATTTGAATGACCACCGAGCCACATAAACCCAATAGCTGTAGTGCCAATTTCAAAAATCTTCCATAACATATAATTTTATCATAGTTTTTCCTTTTGCTATAAAACACCTTTCGCTCATAGATTAGTATCATGTTTAGCAATATTGCAAAATCTTCCGGATTGTTGTACCACGATGTTGTCACTGCAAATACTGCACAAGGTACGCAAAACGAAAACAGTGCAACCAGAAACTTTTCTTCCGTTGATAACCTTGGCGATTGCAAATGCCATAAGCCATTGCATAGAAGGAATAATGAGTAGCAAATTAAGGAAAGTATATGTAGTTTCTTTTTCAAAGTGTTACGATTCTTGGGCCCTGTTTGGGCAGATATCACAAAGATGGGATTTTTGTCTTCATCCTGACCCAGTGCAAGCGGGGATTGACTCCAAAACGAGATAATGTTCAACTGGGTTTTTGTAACGGGAATAGTCGAGAACAGGATCATTTTGTACAGGATTTTACAAGATGAGTTATATATGTGACGACTTATAAAACAATTTATGAATAATAATTTAAAGTTGTGAAGTGAAGTTTTACAGCTTTACCAGCTTAAGTTTCTTAATTGTAGTAGAAATGACGCTAAACGTCTACTCAGGCTAAGTTTGAATTATATTCAAATTTCATACATTGCACTTGTTGGATATTTGCCTCTTAAATAAACAGGACAATTCAAACAAATTCACGTCGGATATTACATTCAGATGGGCCACGCTTTGCAAATATTTTGCATAAATTGATTATGGGTCGTAACTTATGAATTATAGGTATTTATTCACAGAAGACATCGGGGCAAAGGTGATGGCAAATATTTATTCTGCTTAAAGGTTTTCATGTCCCTCTGGTGTGCTTATGTATTTCAACGAATACATTAACCGACAAATTTTAAATGCAAATTCCATATCGTAATTATTTGTGTAAATTTTCATGCAATAATGATACCATATGAAATAATTGGTGAGAGGAGACAAAATATGCAAGTATATTTTCAACAAGCATGTTGAAACAATGGTTTCGCAGAATTTTTATAAAATTACTGCACGGGAGTAAACATGCCCATTCAGGAAAACGAAAAAATACGAGTCCGCTTATTTCTGGGCCTCAACAATTTAAAATTAGTCCGGTCGATATCGGCGATAACCACCTCACATCTCCTCATTGTAAGTATTGCTCAACCACTGCCACGTATTTTTTGAGATTTCGGACTGTCACAAACAATATCCTGAGAATTATTACCGTAAAATGCATACGACCAAGTATAAAGTAGCATGCCTCATCGTGTGCGTAAAAGGTGGAATTTGATGTATGAAATTTTTCATGAAGCTTTCATGCAAATTTTTCATGAAGCTTTCATGCAAATTTTTCATGAAGCTTTCATGCAAATTTTTCATGAAGCCGGACAGAGACAAAGACTCGACTCACATTCCCCACTCTGCGCTTCGCCCAATGTATTTCTATCGTTACCATGGCAACCAGCTGGTCACAAGTTTACAAACAAAAGTTTTTCGCCGTTTGTAAATACAGGTGTAAACATTGCAAACTGTTGGCACATTTAGTCAGTTTAACTCATAACTTTAAACCTCGTAGATATTACCAAGTAATATAGACATGGTTATAAAAACATTTCGTAATTAAAGTAACAAATTTAGCTACGGTTTTGGATCACAGAAAGTTAAATAGTTTGAATTTTAAAGTTTTTCCCTTAACCAGATAATATTTAATTCGCAATGGAAACCACGAGTGGAGAGCATACTTTTGAAATCAAACAGGAAACGGACCAGTGAGTTGTCTATCAAAATTTCAAAATTGACTTAATATTAAGACGATTAATTTTTCGCGAAATACTTAATTATCCTAGTATTCGATAAAATTCGATTTATGTAAGTTATTAACTTACATAACGCTATTTCCACAGGGAGGAAATCAACATAAAAAACTTTCTCGTCGAATTACACACTTTGCGGGGCGTTCTTACAGATGCGGAATCCAAATTTGGGCTTATTTCGAGCAAGTGTGTCAGATATTTGGAAGGTATTTTTGTAAATATGTAAATTTTGAAATATTTTGAAGTCGAAAAGTTTTTTTTATTCAAGGGATACAATCTAAAATTAATTCGTTTACTACTTATGTGGCAAGTTTGTTGCTAATTCTTTCAGAAACTTAAAAATTGTTTCATATTTGACAAAAATTTACATTTAGATTACGATTTATCTTGCGACCTCCACCGCATGATGATTGACGGACTAAAATCCATTAGCACCGGATTAGACGAGGTCGAGCAGAAATTTAGGGCCAAATATGACCTCAATCAAGCACGGAAGGATGATGACAATGCTTTATTCCAATTGTTGCTGAGTCATGAAGTTACCATGAAGTCGGAGGGGGACGAGGAGGGGGATAATGCTGACAATAAACCGTCCGGGTAAGCTCTGGCATAGAATCGTAATCTTAATGCATAATGTCCCTCAATTTAATAAGATTTATCTGATACATAAGATTTCAATTTTGCATGTCTGCAAATTTCGCAAGATGCAGATTCGAAACTCGATTTATTAACTATGTTCAATTGTGAAAAGGGGCGAATTTACATAAATGTATGTATCTCACAGATCGACTTCCAAGCCAGCTTCGTCTCCTGAGAAGGCCACGGCATCCAGCGATTTTGATTCCGACGATGAAATTCCTAACCCACACATTCCTCACTACTATTACGAGTCACCCTGTGACGACGACGACCATGATAAGGACGACCTTACCCCTGGTATCTGTGTACACTGCCCTGCAAAAGTCTTCGCCAAACATTGACACAGTGATAACTCAAACAATTGGTGACATAGCAATTTGAAATTTTTCAGGGTTATAGTCAATCGCATTTCTGATGAGATAGGACTCCAAATTTTGAACATTTATGACCAGGTCAAAGGTTATGATCTTTTAACCTCAAACCCCAAAAGTGACCTACCTCAAGGAATTTTTTTCCTTGGTGTTTTAATTTTTATAAAGTTGGCACAACTCATCCTGAACATTTTGATATGTTGATCACCTCTGTGCGATTTTTTTTACGCCCACGAGAATTTTTTGAAAAATGTAGTTTTGAAAAGTTATAACATTGAGCTTATGGGGGAAAACTTAAAAACTAGTCAAAACTACATTTTTTCAAAAATTCTCGTGGGCGTAAAAAAAATCCCACAGAGGTGATCAACATATCAAAATGTTCAGGATGAGTTGTGCCAACTTTATAAAAATTAAAACACCAAGGAAAAAAATTTCTTGAGGTAGGTCACTTTTGGGGTTTGAGGTTAAAAGATCATAACCTTTGACCTGGTCATAAATGTTCAAAATTTGGAGTCCTATCTCATCAGAAATGCGATTGACTATAACCCTGCAAGATTTCAAATTGTTATGTCACCAATTGTTTGAGTTATCACTGTGTCAGTGTTTGGCGAAGACGTTTGCAGGGCAGTGTATTTAATAATTAAGAGTGAACTCCATGACTCATCGTCAACGAGAAATTTTGAACGACAAATTCATATTGCACGCACATCCCAGTTTTTTTCAAATGCACGCCCTGAATTTTAGGGGTTTTTGAAAGAGTAGGCCTCAAGCTACAGATTAGTCATCCAAAATATTAAAATGCATAAATTCCCAGAGCTGAGAAATGATTAAAATTGTAGTGAATTACACGATTTTGATAAGTCAACTTAACCCGACTTTTGTACATTTTCTTACAACATTTTTATCCAACAGGACCTCTAACCCTTCAACCGCGCTCCATCCGAATCCGAAATCTGATTAAAACCCGGCGTAGCGTGACTACCACCCGTAAAACAAAGCACCCTCCACCCCCAAAAATACAAATCACCCGCCAAAAAAAGTTGTCAAATCCCGCCACCTCCACCGATCAACCTCCAACTTTAAACCCTCCCGCCGTCTCACAATTAACCCAAGAATCCACCCGACCCCTCAAAAAGCGCGGTCGCAAACCCACCCTGGACAAGTCCCCCGTTTCGTGCCCCATCTGCCACAAAACCTTAGCATACAACGGGCTCGCCCTGCACACCCAGCGCTGCCACACCGTGCGCCCCATGGACTTTAAGTGCACCCTCTGCCCACGCGAATTCCCGACGAAGGGGCAGCTCAAAAACCACGCCAAAATCCACTCCGAGTGCAAATCCTTCGTCTGCGAGCTTTGCGGATGGTCGTTCCACCTCAACTCGAATTTGCAACAGCACATGCGCAAACATCAGGATGAGCGCCCCTTCAAATGCACGCAGTGCGAGGACACGTTCAAATTCAGCCAGGCGCTGAGCCTCCACGTGCAAGCGATCCACTCAGAAAAGTCGAATCAGTGCACACTCTGCGGAAAATTGTTTGGCACGCTGACAAAATTGAAGTCGCATGAGCGCTGTGTTCACCAGGGAGTGAGGAGTTACCCGTGTCACCTGTGTGGGAAAGCGTTCAAGAGGGGAGATAATTTAAAATATCATGTTAAAACGCATTCAAATCCGGCCAGTAAATATAGAGGGTTGAATAAGCCTAGAGTTTAAAGTTTTTGGTGCAAAAAATCTATATAAATTGGAAATATGTGAGATGGTTTTGTTACAAATTATGATTTGTTTAAATAGTGTCTGCATGTAGGCTCGGTACATACTTTAATTTGTGTAAGTTTTATTTCTTATGCACATATTATCTTTTCTGTTTGAGAGGTGAAACTTTAAATCATGGAATAAGTTAGAAATCTTGTAAATATTAAATTGTATGTACTTATATGTATGCATCACGGCTGGTTTCTTGCGTATTTTAATTCTTCTTATTCATTCGGCCAATGAATTTTAGTGAAATAAATCGTATCGATTTACTATGTAAATTATGATTTACATAAATTATACATAAATTACATAAATTTGCATTACATTTACATAAATTATGATTTACTATGTAAATATGCATTTGTGCCAATGCTAATTTTTTGAATTAAATACGCCTACGCCTATTTTCCAAAGTAAGGAAATGTATTCGCAGAGGCTAAGTACATTGTACATATTTTGTTGGGGAATCCTCTAAAATGCTGAAAAAATATACAGACATTGTAAAAACCGGGCGCCAGAGGAACTCTGAGCATGCTCGATATTGTAAAGAAATTAACATTTTAAATGTAAAGTTTCGTCATGTTCATTAGTTCATTCATTACAAAATTTCTTCTTTCTGGGATAACGAATACTTCCGTTGCTTTTATCAGTTTTGTTGATATTGGCTGTTTTTGCTGATGATATGCTGATGATATTCAGTATTTCTTGTAGCTCGTTGATAATGCGTAATTTTGCAATGACGCATAAACAAATTCAAGGCAGCTATACAGGGTGTTAATAAAGTCCGATCCCATTTTTCCTGTAAAAAAGTGAAGGCTAGTGTAAAAAAAACTACCCGTGATACTTACAAAAAATGTTCGACATATTTACCTTAGTATTTGGTCTTGTTACCATTTACTTTAACCATGCCCTCAACTCTTTGTTTAAGGCTCTGTGCTAATTTTTCCAATGTGCCTCTGGAAATCGAATTCCATACATCTTGAACTTTTTTTTACTAGCTCTTCCCTCGTCCGGGGTTGTGGCTCTTTGTATACATTTTCCTTAAGTATGGACCACTGGTTCTTCAGGGGATTCAAATCTGGGCCGTTAGCGGCCCACACCCCCTTGCTCCAGACCGTTGAAACTTGCGTCTTGATGAGACTCAAACTCGCTTTTGCTGTATGGGCTATAGCACCATCCTGCATGAAAACTATTTTTCTTTCATTCGGAAATATTTCCTTGTTCCCCATGCTATCGAAATAGATAGGTAATATTTTTTCCATATAATGCTTTGCATTGACTGATTGGCCTTTTGGTATGATATGTAGAGGGGTCACGCAACGTGCACAAAATCCACCCGCTACCATAACTTTAAGCCCGAATTTTGGGATCGCTCTTGATGGTACATCCGATTTGTTTTCTGTCCTGTAACGAACATTTTGTTGGTTCAATTTTGGATATAGTTCAATAATAGATTCGTCAGTCCAAAGGATGTGACTGCGCAATTCTTCACCAAGTCTTTTTTCACTCAAATGGGCACTTTTCTGAAGGAGTTCTTCAAATTTCAGACGGTCATCGATATATTTTTGTGACATGAGAGGTTTTTTTGGTTAGTTTGTAAGCTGTGTGACCCCACTTCGTAGTTTTCACAAATTTTTGCACGGTCACACAGTTAATTTGCTTCTTCTTCTCTTTATAGCGTTTTGAGTCATTTAACTCCCTTGCTCAATTACGTAATGAACTACCGGTTTTCTTGCAAAGTCTGTTTTTAATCATTCTTTTTGTGGTAGGTGACACCTTTCTGGGTCGCCCTGGTCGCTTTTTGTCGTGGACAAAATTTTTATTCTTCCATTTCCAAACAGTTCTGCGGCTGCAGCCCAATTTTTGCACAATTTCTGTAGGTTTAAGCCCCTGCTGATGCAATGTTTGTATCTCAACTCTAAGATGCTCATGACTTACACGTTTAGTTGTTCCTCCCATGGTAAAAATTTGAAATAAATAACTTCACTGGTTCAAAAGTTCCAGCTGAATTTGTAACAACCACGCTCCAAAAAATGCATGGGATCGGACTTTATTAACACCCTTTATAAACATATCGCGTTGTTAAAGCTCTTGTTGCCTGATTATAGAAACTGTGTGTTTTCGATGTTTTAGTGACCACGAATTCAATAGAGTTTTGAACATTTTACGCCAATGTATCAATCTTTTCTTAACATTCAAAATCACAAGTTTCCTAATTTCTACCAAAAATCCGGCTAAGCAGAACCCCATTATAACTGCACAGATTGCAAAGATGGGTCGGATAAGTTCCACCGACACCGGTTCGGATTCATGAAATTGATCGGAAATCTTAGGACTACCGAAAGCGTTTTGTAGGCTGTCGCGATATCGTTCCCCGTAAAGATCGGACTTATTCCTCAGAGTCCTGGACTCTTGGAGTAGCGTGTTCCACATATTGGTCGTACCGAATACAAACATGCGTTTCCATTCTTTAGCGACGTAAGGAGAGAGTAAATTCGAAATTCCAGTTCTTAGCTGGACATGCATGAAAGGTGAGGCACCCTTGTTTCGCACAATGCGACGGACTCCGGCCATTTGGATTTGTTTTATGCCATACTTTGACCAGTCACCCGAAAGAAATAGTGCAATCATTCGATGTTTTCTTTTCAACCTCTCAGTTATAATTCTTGTTACCATATCTTTCTCCGATCTATTTTTCCAAGGCAAAGCCCTGGCATGTAGGTTTTTCAATAATTTAATAAATTGCGGACTCGAGCCTTCACTTAAAAGCAATTCCGGGATAATCCGATCCAAAAGATTCGATTTATATGTGCTTGAAGGATCATCATAGAAAATATCCATCGCGAGGATGGGTATGTCCCAGTTGATCAGATCCTCCACACTTTGCGGAGTCTGTGGCGGGAAGGGGACCGCCAAGCATGAATATATCGAACCCTGATATAAATTTGCCATAAGCAGGATATTTGCAAACAGCCATAGGATGAGCAGAACTAGGGCTACTTTTCCCATGCGATACGCCTTACCCGTAGACTCGCCTACTTGACCGAGAAGAATACATGACACGGTGAGCACTTTATCCATTACCATGGTAAGGAAAGTTGAGACACAACAATTCAAACAAAAAACCACGTGATACAATGCCACGTTAAACTATGCCAACTTATTAATTTAACTTATTAAGTATTTATATAGCAAGCAAGTATCCTTAATATATTCTGCAGCCTCGATTATTATTTTGTGTCATCCTCGAAAGGTTTGCTAGAAGCATATGATATTTAAGAATGCACGTCTCGATAGAAATGGGAATATTATAAATACAATGGCGTGTAGACATTACGCCATTGAACATTTAGTCATGCGAGGAGAAAATACTGTTTAATTATTCATAAATGCCACCCAGCAGGAATAGATCCCCGTTAAACCGACTTTACCCAGTGACCAATAGGCCGACAGGTCTATGTATTTATAGGTCAAGTTAAGAACTTTTTGTAGAAATCTATTCTAGTCAAGTCGTAACCATACTGGTGTCTAGCCAATGTCACTGGAGAGAAGGAGGAGTGTACCCTACAGAAGCTTAACCCTTTTAACGTAATTTTCAACTTAAAAAGATGGTTAGATTCTGAAGGACAATAAAAGTTGCCTTGAACGATTGTGGTTATGGAGCAAGACGCTTGTTGTTTCCGGAAGGTCGTTAAGTTTTTTTCTCCGCCATGTTCGCCAAAATAAAATCTTGATTTTGAAATCTTGTTTTTCGTGATTTTGAATTATTTCTCCTATGCCAACGTAGTTATACAATTTGAAAATTCTGGCCAAAAACATTGACTTTTGTCAATGTAAGGTAATGTTAAAGTGCGGATATTTTAGTTCTTACTAGTTTTACTAAAACCACTGAATGAAGACTTCAGTGGTTTACTGTTTACTGAAGTTTGTTATAATGTCGCAAATTATCAGAGAAAAATCTGCCTTCAGATCAAGACACATATGTACAAACATCCCTAAGACTAAGTATTTGGAACCTCTGCAGTTTTATAACATTTAGTGTACGAAGAATTCGGAATGCAATTTGACATTTGTTTTGAAGTTGCTTTCTCACCTTTCCATAGGTGACAGGCCAAACAACAGTCAGTTCCAGTGGATCCCCATTTCTGCGGAATTTAGCATTCAACTTAACATCCATTGGAATTTACTAGCGTACATATGCAGTAGGAAGTTTTTTCATGTGTTTCTGTATTAACCAAAAATTTACATTGAGGTGGTAATTACAACTTTTCTTTAGAACTATGTCCCTTTCACACTGGATTTCCATCTTCTTCACAACAATCACCTCATTGTTATTAAGGTGTTCTTGCATAGACTGGAGTGCCATATTTCACGATGCCGATCTAACCTTCGCCTTCAGTTGGGATGGTGATACGTCAATGGATGTGGACAAAGATTTCCCATATTTTCAGGTCGTCAGGATTGCGAATCCATACACTCTACTGCGTCATTTCGTCGTATCACAATCAAACTTTACAGATCTTAGAACCACCTTAATAAGGTTAAAGAAACATGGGTATCGTGAAACGGAGAAATCTGCACGAGCTAAGGTCATCTTCGTCAATTTGGTCGCGTCCATTGCCTGGAAGTATAAGTTAGTAGACCTTATCACTCCCATTGACAGATCATTCCAACAAGAATTTGTTTTTGGTTACTTTCATGGTAAGAATGATTTGCTCTGCTTCCGCTACCACGTTTTGTTCTTAAACACCGTGAAGTTAGTCTTGTTCACGGTTAGTACCATCTCACCACTGTATGTTCCATGTTTAACGTGCGGATTAGAACGGTTGTCAGAAGTGAAAACATTATCGTTACCAGATATCAAACAGGCTTGGGACAATCAAAATAGTAATCTTCATAATTACATAATCTTTGTTCCATCTCTAGTACAAGGAAAGTGTGCCCTACTACAAGACGGACTGGTTAACCTAAGTGATAGCCACAATTGCCCAATGCTCACAATTGCTGGGAGGTATAATTTAACCGTATTAGACAACAAATCAAGGCATATGCTGTATAACCAAAATAGTTTTGCTTATGCACTAATGGACAAGGACCATCATGCCACCACCTTCCTTCATGAAATTGAAATATTAGGCATAGATTTTCTAACTATTACCAATCCACCATCTCCAGCAAGTGGGGTTCCCACTTTCGTGTCACCTTTTGACAAGGAGATTTGGCATTTCCTCTTGGTTTATGTTATCTGTGTCGCAGGGTTCTTAGCTTTTGTGGAATGTAAAGCAGCATCCGGTTCTGTAATTGGTGACGGTGAAGTGCATAAGACATTGATCTCATATGCTATTTTGATGGCAGAAAAGGTGATCACTGTGACATCTGTGTTCTTAGGACAAGTTGGCGATAGTTCTGGCAAGTTGTATAGGAAAGGAAAGGTGGCTCTCATCATCCTCATCTTATTTTTATTTGGAAATCTCTTCCTCGTAGTTAATTATTACCAGGGCTCGATATATTCTTGCCTTGCAGTCCTCCTCCCGCCTCAAACTCCGCGTGGAGTTGAGGAGCTAGTCGACTACGATATTCAGACTATATACATGGACGAAGTTGACTCGATGCACAACTATCTTCAAGAAATACTTATTCCACAATTGCTCAAAAATTTTGATCAGAAACCTAAATTTTGTAAGTTCTTAACCAAACTTAGTCCTAAGCTCTTGTCATACGGGGATGAGTCTGTTGCAAAACTGTTCCTCAAAATTATTAACGAAAAATCAACACGCACTCATGATATGATAGCTATATTCACTCGCCGAGATAAGTTTGAAAGTTATATGAACTTAGTTAAATATTCGGGAAACCGTCACATTGTCAGGAATACTGGTGACTCACCATTTCGTGTAGTACTCCACCATTTTGGGTTCAGGAATCTGTTCACTACTTACCTGGCGAAGGGCTTGAAACGCGTGCAGGAGTCTGGGTTGACTGATATGTGGAAGAAACTCGACCACTTTGGGGATATATTGGCGAATAAAAATTACTTCTTGACACGAGGTAAATATTTTCAAGCTGCACTTTAAATAAATACGAGCGTTATTATTTCTAATCATTTAATGATAGTGTAAAATGTATCCGTATCTTATGAAATACAAAAGGTTAATGTAAATAATTGAAAACGAAGGGGTGTTAAATATTTTCAAAATTTTATACCCCACAGATTATAGATATAAGCACCATCTAACGATTTTAAGCGGGACGATCCATTATTTGAAATATTGCCTGGATTAAATCTGTAGTATTTCCAACTCTGTATTTCCAATATGAGACGACACACCTGTAAATAATTGGGAAAATAAAAAGTAGTGAAATATATTCCATCAATAAAAATGTATTCCATACGTTTGAACTGAATCCGCAAACCACGTGGTCGCACTCGGAGAGCAGAATAATGTCTCGGATAATTTCGAACACGTCGTGCCTCCGAGTTTCCCATTTCTCCGAGAAGGTTGCCGGAAATCCGATTATTTTCCAGGACGGATACCTGAAAATCCAAGATGGTCAAAACTGTCTGATTTCTGCCAGATAGACATCTTTTGCAGTAGTGATTTTCTCTGATTTCGCTGCATTCTTATTCACATACATATTAAAAATATCTAAATGGTGTCGATTTAATTTGTCCCCATTGGTTTTTGGGAAATTTACACAAATTAACGAGAATTAGCACAAAGTCGCAAGAAAAGAGTTATGGATACGATTATGATAAATTGCCGAAAAACAAATTACCAATGTATCTCTGATAAAAAAAAAAGTTGACCTCGAAATTGTCAACCGTATTTCGAGGTACAAGTTTTCCAATATTTATCGACAGGAGGAATCGGGTCGAATTAAATCAACACCCTTTGGAACGTTATTTTTCTCAATTGTTACACACTTAGAAATGGGGGACTTGGAAAAGTATGTACAAAGTGAGCCCGAACAAATTTCTAAATACAAGAATTGCATTATTATGAAATTTTGTAAATTCATGAAATTTTAACGTATGTAAATATAGTAATTTTTCTATCTGCAATCAGAATCAGAGAAACAATGACAATTGATAAAAGTGTCTAACTTGAACTTAACGAGTTCAAGAATATTTATGTACCTTTCTCTCGCTACGCTTACAAGAGACGAGTTATCGGAAGAAAGATAGACTATTCGAGGTATTTTTGTCGAATTTTTCTCCAATTTGAGGAAGTATTCTTCGGCATGGTGGAAATACAAAGAAAGTGGATGTACCGAGTCGCTATATTCTGTAACTTTGTCCGTGCTGCGGACCTGTAATCTGAAATAGTACGGGATTACAAAATTATGTAGGGGTTAAGGTACGTTACATTTTCAGGAAAACCTCTAACTCATCGTTTGCGTTAAAGAAAACGTGCGAAATAACGTAACCCTAAAAATTATCGCGAAATTTGAAGCGTGTGTCAATTCAAAAAACTGTGCTGTAAAAAAAACAGTTAAAAAACAGTGTTCAACAAAACTAAACTAGTCATACACATATTAAGGCATATATGTAAAGTCGACGTCGCCGAAACTTGGCGGGATTGAAAATTCAGTGCAAAGTTCAAAATTTGAGTGCAATTTCATAAATTCGCAATCTCCGTAATATGTATGTACATAAAAGTCGTCAATGGGTAGAAAAAAACGCTACTCTAATTACCTGGGTGAAAAATTTAAGCAGTTTTATGCAGAAATTTGTCTGGATTTTATGCAGAGAATTGGCTGGATTTTAGGTAGATAAATTGATGCCGAAACAATTTCTGCACAAAGTATGCAGAATTATGCATAATTGTGCCAAACTTTTCTGCAGAAGTTTTATGCAGAATCTTTCATACTTTTTCTGCACAAACCCTTGTTCCGGCAACTTGTGTAGAATTATGTCAAATTTGACGTACGATTTTCACCCGGGTACTTCGCGGTTCATCTTACCCAACAATTTTTATACTTTTTCCAAATCCAGCCTGCTTCATGAGATTGGCCAATTCCTGCTCAAACGTGGAATTCAGTCGCATCGCGTATTTCGTAAATTGACCAGTCACCCACAAAAATTTGGCCAAGTGAGTCCAATCTCCGGGAAATAATTTGTCCACAAAAGGCACCAAAGCGTCGTCCAACTTTGCCCCGAACGATAGCGGGTATGGAATAGCGGTGTACGTGACCTTGTTGTACAGCACGTTGTGGCATTTTGACACTAAAATAGTTATAAACAGAGAGACTGGAAAATATACGAAAATACATTTTTTAAATATCATTTTGACGTATTTTTGTCGTCCAATTTCTCTAGGCCAATAAATTTCGAATCTTAACATTGAAATATTTTAAACATATTCTTCCACACATAATGGCACACATTTTGATAAATATGTATCTCTAAAAACCAAGAAATATGTAAAAAAAAAGAATATATATTTTGAACCCTTTTTGATCTATTAAGTTAGTGAAGACTGACAAAATTTGACCGTCGGTCGTCATACGCAAAATGAAAAGATTGAAAATATTTAAAACCGTTACACGGAAATAAATTCGCACATGTGCAAATGTTTTTTTCCTCTGCATATATAAGTACTCACCTTCACCACTGCACCCGTCGTTGTGCCAATTCCAGACGAAAGTGTTGTTTCCCGGCGTGCAATTGGTTCCCAGAAGGGTAAAAACGTGCGACCATGGGTGTAAGTAGTACCAGCCGTCATGGTCCACGGTGTGAATTAGGGGCATCCCCGTCACGTAGGACATGATTAGACAGGGGACTCGGTGGTGAAGTTGGTACGCGAATCCGGCACCAGCTGTAATAAAGGTGGAATTGATTAATTTGATTATGTATTTAGGATTGGACGACTTATCACCAAAATCGTCGAAATTTCTGATTCTAAAATTCTGGATCACCAATTATGTAGTTGTAAGCACGTTATTTAATGGAATCGCGCTATGGTTTTTGAGCCAGAATCGAAGAGTTTTTTCATTAAACTGGAGGTCTTGTCGTTGAAAAAAATGGACTGTATATTTTTTAACTGACAAGGGCCTGCACTTCATGTCTGTTTGTCGTGTGGAATTTTCATCACATAACCCGTTACAAGCGAAATGTAGCAAAGGGGTGAAGCGATACGGTCCCGCGGTCACGCACGTATATAATATAATATATATTATATACATTATACTACTGACAATGCAAGTCTTTTATGCGTACAACTCAGATCTCAATAGGACCAATTTTATTTTGCTCACCACAAAAAATAAGCAGACCCGTATTTTTTCATTTTTCATAATGCGCTAATTTGAGGGCGAGGCGCGAATTTTAAAACATTTTTTAGCCAAAACCTCGGTTTTTAAAAATTCTGTAAATTTTCGAATTTTAGCGCGAATCCAAAAATTCGAAAACATGTGTCTTCAAAATGACTGACCTGACTTGCAAAAAATCCACATGCATTTTTTTTTGAAAAATGAAAAATTTGAAAGAGTTTAAAATTGTTATGAATTTCTAAAACTGTCAAAATATTTTGAAATTCGAATTTCGAGACAATTGGACTTTTCATAAGTCAGGTAAGTCATTCTGAAGAGACATGATTTTGAATTTTTGGATTCGCGCTAAAATTCGAAAATTTACAGAACTTTTAAAAAGCGAGGTTTCGGCTGAAAAATGTTTTAAAATTCGCGCCTCGTGCTCAAATTAGCGCATTAGGAAAAATGAAAAAATACGTGTACGCTTATTTTTTGTGGCGAACAAAATAAAATTGGTCCCAACCCGATCTGAGTTGTACATGTAAAAGACTTGCATTGTGAGTCAGAATTACTTTACCAAAAATTTGATTCCCGCTTCGTATCCCTACCATACTAATAGCATGGGAAGGATACCAGCGCGGGATGGGAAAGAAAAACTCAGTTGATATTATTCGTTATATTATATACGTTATACGTATATACGTTAAAATTAGATATAAAAATATTAATGGGGCCACGGCGAGACGGGGATCCCCGTCCAAAAATACGGCAAAAACGAGCAAAAAAATTCGGCACGTTTGACCGTTGGCGTCATCACTTTGACGCAGTGAACTTACAACCTACAAGCCCAGCGACATTCTAACTCATCCGTACTTTAAAAATTAGAAACATGTTCACGAAAACCGCATGTCGAAATTCTAGTTCGTTCCAAAGTTATAGTGGATACAGACAGACCGATGGATGGACGGGCGGACAGACAAGGCATTTCCATAAAAGGAGTTCGCTTCGCTTTGCCCCTTAATATGTAATTAGAGCTGAGAAATTATTACAAATGTGCAGATTTGAACGATTTTGGTGATGGGTCATCGAAGCCAAGGTTAATTAGCGAAGATGTGTAAAATATTAATACTGGCAGCGTACAACCTCGCCCATCACGTGCTCGTATCCTTCTCATACTATTAGTATGGTAGGGATACGAAGGCGGGAGTCAAATTTTGGTCGAGGTTGCTTGCTGGCCATAATAAGTTTGGTACCCACCATCGTGAAGTCCACACATGCAGTTAGGATGGTCACAACTTTTCCGCTGAATTGCGTGGATTTGCCGTTGGATGAGGAGGGAGAAGTGCTTCGCGCCACGTTCGATTCCCGATGGCGTGGAAAAATATCTTTGTAAAATTAACAACGAGGCTGCATCTGGTTTCGGTGGGTGGAGATATTTTGCTAATCTGAAAACAAATTCGATACTAAAAATTTTGAGTGTAAAGATCTGTTCACATTCGTTTACTCAATTGGAAATTCCAATTTGGAATGAGTTAACTACGTACATGTGTAATCAGTGATTATTCCAAAAGGTCATGAATATACAATTTTCTGAAAATTTTTGACGAATTTTTGAAATTTTTGAATGACTATTGACCAAATTGACTTCAAAATTCATTCATCTAACAATCATCACGAATGAATGAATGATTATACGCATTTTTTACGCACCGTTTAATGCATGACGTATGTTGTACTAGCCAATAATGAGTAAATATTTATTTTCAAATTTTGAATAAAATGATATCTAATAAATATTTTTTCAACTCTAGAATTGAGCAATTTCGAATTTTGTACAAAAAAGGTTTTTAATCTCCTGTATGTAAATACATGAATATGCATGTATAATACAAATAAAAGTTACCTCAATTCTTCTTCCTCAGGATCACATTTTGAACTCCAATATCCCAAAATCCGCTTGCTTTCCGCACTCCAAAAACAAGTGGGTGGTAAAGCGGGAGGTGATTCGGGGAGGTCCAAATTAACCGAATTGAACATTATTTGTCCAATCAGGAGTATCAAGAGTACGATAAGAACAAAAACTTTGTTACATCTTTGAGATAATGTCACCCACATTCTTCGCAACGTTCGAGTTTTAGACATTGTTAAGACTGCTAAATTATTTCCCGAATTGGGTCAAAATTTCTGCAAGTAAAACTGAAATGTTTCCGGGAATGGGCTAGGCAAAACTAAATCGTGCATGCGACGATGAACTTGTGCTTGGCTGGAAGTGAAAGTTATGAAGAATAGACGTTTGTCAATTGACGAGGCTATTGTCAAGTTAAATTTTTAACAAATACTTATTGGTATAAACATGATTGTAAATATGTTTCGATACGTGCTAATAATGCATTCATAAACTGCAATTATGTATGCATGCATTAAAATTAATAATTAACTATAATGTGTACATACATAAAGTAACAAAATTAGTGGTTGTAATTTTAATCTGTAAATTTTGACACATCTTACACTTTAATTCAGATATCAAGATACATATGTACATGTTTTCATATTAGGCTTATTTATTTATTGACTTATGAATATGTATTATTTATGAACATCAGTTTCTTCTCTAGATGCTTAATTTTTTTAGCGTATTGTACATAAGTGGTACGTGGCTATCACAAGATTTCTACATTACTACATATTATTTAGTTTATTAGGTACATGCATGACAAACGCAATTATCTATCCAACGACATAATAAATAATTATTGTGTATCAAAAAATATAAATAAGTTACATAATATTGATTATCCTTAAGCAAGAATTCCCAAATACAAACTGGGCGTCTAACATGTTCGATAAATAAAAAAAATATGCCCAATTAGAGGGCTAAATATGTACCATGTTAACGCCGAGTCGTGTAATTATTCTAAATTTGTCCATAAATATGATTATCATTCAAATTTCCAAAAATTCAATCAATACTGTAGTATCTCTCATTTCTCTTTTTTCAAATTAATTTGTGTCTGATGATGATCCGCTGTAAGCGGTGGAACGCTCG